CAATGAATATATATATGTTCACATATAACTGAAAAATTGTGCTCTACACTGGAATTTGACACAACATTGTAAAATGACTATTACCCAATAAAAAAAAGGTTAAAAAAAAAGATTACACTAACCTTAGAAAATACATTGGGGTGTGTACTCTCTTCTCCTAATCTCTGAGAGAGCTTGTGTAAGACTAGAATTTTTTCTTGAATGTTTGATAGACTTCTCTGAAGCTTCTGATCTTATGGGAAAAATTATTGATTCATTTGTTTAATGCTTAGAGGACTATTTCAGTTTTCTACTTCTTGAGTCTATTTTGGTAAATTATATTTTCTAGCAGTTTTCATCTAAACTTTCAAACATACTGAAAAAGTTTTCATTATATCATGTAAAAATCATTTAAAAAATCATTTTAATGAATTAGCATCTATAATGTCTCCTTTTATATTCTTCATATTGATTATATGGCTTTTTTTGTTTTTGTATCAGTTCCATTTGCATCCAAATCCCATGAGAGTAACACAGATGGATACCTGTTTATACAGTGGATTGCATTATGAAGAGGAGCCCTGATTTCAGAGAACCTGAATGTTACATAGTAGTCAGTAAGCATGCCTACCCTTTGCTGTAAAGGGAAAAACGACCTTTATTTTCTGAAGCTGTTTGCTAAAAACATTTTTGAAAAGATAGTCTGAAACAAAAAGCAGTTAGTATTTCATTTACAAGACAGGCAGAAATGTGAGCGACCTATAGAGAACTGTGTCTTAGGATTATCTTTCTTTTGTTAGAGGTAATCCTTTAGCAGACATTCTTGCTTTGTTCTTAAATTTAGGGGGAAAGCATTCATTCAGTCTGTTGCTATATTGTTAATTGTATAATATTGTTAATAATATTATATAATAGTGTTAATATATAATGTTAGCTGTAGATTTGTGTGTGTGTGTGGATGCTTTTTATCAGGCTGGGGAGGTTCTTCTCTAGACCTATTTTTCTGGGAATTTGTAATCATGAGCAGGTGTTGAATTTTGACACAGGAATTTTCTGCACTGATTGATATAATAATGTGATTTTTCTTCTTTAGCCTGTTAATTTGGTGGATTAAATTGAGTGATTTTTGGAAATCGATCCAGCCTTGCATTCCTGGAATGAGCCTACTTGGTCTCAGCCTGTTCTTCCCAATCACAGAATCAGAGTCACTCTCCCAGGAGAAAGATCCTGGTGCTACCCCTTCTGGTGCTTGGCACTTTGGGGACAGGCCTCCTGGGGGAGCCCCTTTCCTCTGTGGACCAGTCTGATTCAGAAACAATTGGCTAGTGCTTCTGGGCCACTGCTTCTCATTCATCCACATCTTCCCGGGTAGCCCTTGCAATCCCAGCTACCCACCCCAACCTCTGATTGCTCAGGTATGGTTCTAATTTGGAATCACAGAGCCAGCAACATTCTGGAGGGAAAGGGACCAGCACACTGAGCCTCCCTGGCTTCCCCCAAACACTCCCACCTGGACAAAAATGCAGCCTAAGGTGTCTCTGGCACTTGGCAGCCATAGCCTGGTGCCTGCAACCTCCAAGTCTTTCTTACTTGTTCTCTTATTGTTTGGTTGTGAAACCTTTTCTTCCTTTTTCTTGAATTAGTGCCGCTTGATTTTGGGGTCTGAGTGATTGGTTCCTCCTCATATCTGACTATAGGGGCCCGGTCAGCTGCCGCACAGCTCTCAGTAGTAGCTGGGCTCTTCCCAGGCACAAGCTGGCAGTACCTTAGTGCCAGGATGCCCTGGGGAAAATGCCTGCAGCAGAAAGTGAGTTGGTGAACATTCAGAGTAAAAATGAATGGATGTAGGTATTTTAATGAAATTTCCCTGACCACCAATGGCATTCTCTGCCCACATGGGACCAAGTGCTCCAGGAGACAAATATCTGGTTCTGCGTATTCACACTGTCCTAAATACTTGAGCCTTCATTGATTATTTGCCTGCTCCTTGATTATGTATGGGGGTCCTTGGAAAAATGAAAATTTACTCACAGAGTCACTTTTGATCGAGTTTTAAAATTCACAGCTGTCACTGTTTACACCCAAAGCAGAAGTGCTAGTCCCTGCCCAAATGTCTCC